AGTGTCTAAAAATCCGAGTAGACCTAGATTTAGTCTGATGCTTTTTTTTTTTTTTTTTTTTTGTACCAGGGATCGAACTTGGGACCTTGAGCTTTTGAGGCAGGTGGAGGAACCACTGAGCTAAATCCCTGGCACTGATGCTTTCCTTAGTCTACACAGACTCCCCTGGTGAACAACACAGTTTCATGCTTTTCATGTTTCCTAATTTAGGTCTCCAGACTCAATTCACCTAACATCTCAAAATTCACATGTCCAAAACAACTGAACTCTTTTTTTTCTTTTGTAGTCTGGAGATTTGCACTCAATTACATGCCCAGCCCTATTTTTCATTTTTATTTTGAGACAAGGTCTTGCTAAATCATTAAAATGTGCCACCATGCTGGGCAAAAATCTAAACTCTGGATGCCCGCCCCCCGGCCCGGCCCGGCCCCCACTTCAGTCATTTCCATCTTGGTAAATGACGACTCCATCCTTTAGGTGCCTAGGAAGGACATCTTGAAGTCACCCTTAAACTCCAGGCCAAGCTGTCACACGTTCTGTCCCTCAGTCTTCACAATAGATGCAGACTCTTATCCATCCCACCACCCTGCTGCTCCCCTGTTGATGATGGGAGCCACCATCCCTTCTTCCTCCTAACCAGGCTAGTCTCTAGCCCCTGTCCAGGCAGGCCCTGTGGTCATGGCTTTTCTGCTTTTAGAAGCTGTCTCTTAGACCACTTGCACTTAGACCTTACAGTATCTTCAGCACAGACAGCACTTTGTCTTCTGTTTGCTTGAAACAATAACTTTCAAATTCTTGTCACTTCCTGAGGAACATCATTTCAGAATTCAAGACTCATTGCATCATACAAAACAGACTGGGGCCAGGCATGGTGGCATATATCTGTGATCCCAGCATTTGGGAGGCTGAGGCAGGAGGATCACTGAGAGTTTGAGGTCAGCCTGGGCTACATAGGAGTTCGAAACCAGCTTGAACTACATACTGAGACCTTGTCTCAAAACAAAAACCAAAAACAACAACAACAAAAAACCCAACCAAACAAGACAAAACAAAAAACAAAACAAACCAAACAAAAAACAAAAACTGGAGAATTTATATAATTACAAAATTTTAAAACCATTTAACTTTTTGAGTCTCCATCTCATTCCTAGAATAGCCTCTTAATAACTTTCCTAGCTTCTACACTTGCCTCCACTGTCTGTTCTGCACATAACAGCCAGGGCTATCGTTTCTAAGGAAGAAGTCAGCCTGGGCATGGTGGTATATTCCCGTAATCCCAGCATAATCTCAGCTAATCAGGAGGCTCAGGCAGGAAGATCAAAAATTTAGGGCGAGGGATTTAGCTCAGTGGTACCATGCCTGCCTTGCAAACCCAAGGTCCTGAGTTCGATTTCTGGTATGAAAAAAAAAAATTCTAGTGCTAGCCCAGGCTACACAGTGAGTTCAAAGCTGGAATAGACTACCCAGCAGTGAGACTGTCTCGAAACAAACAAAAACAGCTGGTGTGGTGATGCATGCCTATAATCCCAGCACTCTGGAGGCTGAGGCAGGAGGATTGCCATGAGTTCAAGGCCATCCTGGACTACATAATGAGATCCTGTTTCAAAAATTAAACAAACATGGTTCTGCCACCTGCCTCGCAAGTGCAAGGTCCCAAGTTCGATCCCTGGTACCAAAAAAAAAAGCAAACAAAACCAAAACAAAATTCTTTACAATGGTCTAACGGGGCCCCGTATAATCTGACTTTGTTCCTTCCTAGTCCTCCAACTTCATCACCTACCCTTCTCTCCCTGTGGATTCCTCCTCTACATTGGTGTCCTTGCTAATCCATTGAACAGACCAAGGATGTTCCTTTCTCAGCGTCCGTGTACCTGCTTTCCTGTCTTCTGGGTATCCTTTCTCAGATATCCACGCGCCTTTTTCCTTCATGTTTTTCCTTCCCCTTTATAAATTAGAGTCCCACTTCTCATCTCCGTTACCTTGCTTCATTTTTCTCTGTATCATTTTTGACCATGAATGACCCTAAGGACATCAAGTAGAAAATCAGTAGTCAGTCGCCCTCCAGGAATAGGGTTGGGGAGAGATGTTGGAGGGGAAAGGTGGTTTGCTTTGATCTTGGGATCTGGTGAGGAAGGGGGCAGTTCTGGGACTGAGAGTGTGGGCTGAGGACCCTACTTCCTTCGAGACGCCAGCAGGCAGCACTATCCCTTGGGCTGGGGAGGCATGGCTCATCCATCACCAGAGTAAAGAAGGGAGTAAAATTCCTGAAGATTTGTTGGGGCCAACTGCAGGCGGGGGTGGGGGGGATGGGGGCGCTTCCTGCAAGTGCCGCACAGTCTGGCTGCAGACCCTTTGGTGCCTCCTGGTGGTGGCCTGGGGTGCTGCAGCGAAGCAAAAGGCGTGTGAGCTGGAGGGTAGGCAGCGCAGCTGAGCTCACCGCTGTGGGCGCATCCATCCCTCCCGGGCCTATAATTTCGGTTCCCCGGGTCTGGCCGCCCCTATCAGCGGCTTAGCAACAGATGAGTCACCGGAGACCCCGGGCCAAAGCAAACACAGGCGGGTGGGGGGAGGTTGCTCTCGAGGCTTCTTTGGGCTTCAGCCGCCGCCTCACTTGCTTGATCCCCCAATCTCCAGGGGCTCCACTCTTTTCTTTGACACCCACCCTCTGGGATCCAGAGTCCTTCCCATATTGTTCTTGATACACCCTCCATCCCCGTGATGGCAAGAAAAGCCCTCTACTCTCCTCATCCAGTGGAAGGGGGACCAGCTTGCTCCTACTCCCTCCCTGCAGTGATGACAGCCCCCACTTTTCCCCTCTTGTCACGGCCCAAACCCTTGTCAAGGTCTCTCTGGTTCCCGCCCCTCCCCTTTCCTGGAGCTGGCCGCGTGCTTGGGGTATTAGGCAATGGGTGTGCACCGCAGCCTTCTCCAGGCCCCGCCTGTCCCATAGCCTTCTAGCTGCCTTCGGGTCAGTCCTCAGGCCAGCCGGTCGGGCTGAGGGCACTGTGGGCCAGCTCGGGCCACCCAGTCGGCCTGCCTGTGGCCTCCTATCGCAGAGCTAGGGTTCAATGGTGAGCATGGGCTCTTGCAGGTGGAAGAGTCCGGTGTGGGGAACCCCTGGGTCATTGAGAAATTAAAACCTACGGTGTAAATTCTGACCCTAGCCCCTTCTTGACACCTGACTGTATGCTGAAGTCTGAGAAGGATAGAATCGGAAGGTTAACAACAACATGACAAAAACAAAATCCAAAACCTGAGGGAGATCAGAGACACATGCAGAAATACAGATGTCCATGAGTTTCCGGTGGAGAAAGGAGCCATAGGAACCTCATCTGCTCCTCCGGGGACCTGGATGGAGTTCTAGGCTGACATGCAGGAAGGACAAGGACACTGGTGATCACTGAGTGCAGGTATAAGGATGGAAACCACTGGGATGGGGCTTGCAGATTCTGGAGGCCCCAAAAGCCACACGTGGTTTCGTTCTTGTCCTCTGTAGGCAGGAGGATCAGGAGCTCTTGGGTTCCCTCTCTCCATTCTGGAGGTAGGAATCAGAAAAAAGTGGCTCTCTGGTCCAGGCTTTCCAGAGTCAGGGTCCCCAGCCAATTCAGGGACTGGCACATAAAGATGGTCGGCAATATCCCAACAAATGTAATTCCCTGATTTCCTAGCTCAGAGTGCTGCACCCCAAGACCAGGTGCGCCCCCTTCGGCACAAGGCAGGACCTGCAACATCACAGCCTGGAGGCTGGTTGCCGAGCAGGGCTGCCGTACCATCATCGAGGAGGAGGAGGAGGAGGAGGAGGAGGTGACTGTGGCTATGGGTATAGGTCCACTCTTTTGCTTACTGGGGGTAATCTCTGAGTCAAGGCATCTTGGGTGCTCGGGACCAGCCTTGCCTTGGGCTGTGGTCTGGCAGGGGCTGGGGGCGGTTGGGAAGCCTGGGGCCCCTCTCTGGCAAAAATAGTCCGCAGTGGTTAGAGCTAGGAGAGTGAGTCAGGCAGGAGTGTGGTGGCGCCTAACCCCTTCGCTGCCACTGGCGCTCCCTAAGGCATTTTGCCTCCGCCTGTGCACCTCAAGACCAGGTTCTTTCTGGGCTGTTCTGGGGCAAGGCTCTGTGGAATCCCAAGGCCCTCCACAGCCCGTGTGAAGCAAGTCTGCGTGTCTGGATTGAGAATCTTCGCCACCCGAAGTGGAAACCCAGGAATCTCAGGAAGTATAGGAGATCTCTATGGGCAGAGATACCTTCCAGGAAAGGCAAGTGCTAGGGGCAGGGTGAGATCTTTGGAGCTACCTGAGGCTTTTGGCAAGGGCCAGATTCTGAGGCCGAACCTGACCCCGGGCAAGGGGCAGGCACAGGGCTCGGAGGTGGGCGGGAGCCAAGCTGAACAGTGGTGCGCCTCTCCTGCAGGCGGCGGGCGCCCTGTTGCTCTCCGGGCTGTGGGCTCTGCTAGCGACTCTCCAATGTCCGAAGCCAGAAGCCAGTCCAGCTCCATCGCGGACTTGTCAAAGGAGCTCTCCAGCTACCCTGCTCTCAGTGGAGGAACTGAGGCAAAGAGAAACGATGAACTATTTAACCACTTGGGCCGGGTCCTGGATGCCTGGTCTGGGTCACAATCCCTACAGCCTTGAGGACCCCAGAGCAGGTGAGAGGTACTCTGGCTTCCTCCCCCTCCAGTGGGGCCGAGCCCCAACCCGGGCGTCGGGGGAAAGGGTGTGTGTGTACGCTGGAAGGAGGGGGAGCGGCTGCGTTCCCCTGGTCAAGGAGGGGGGTGCGGGGCTGGGGTGGGGATGCCCCGGGCTCAGGGAGGGGCCGCAGCTCTGTCAGCCCTCGAAGCCGCCTGTGAGTTCCGCGCGAGCACAGCCAGAGCCCCCAGTGCTTTGCTCGCCGCCCGCTCACCCGCTCTCCCTCAGTCGCTCCCTCCCTTTCTCCCTCCCTTCCTCCCGGCGGCCGTGGCGGCGCTGGGGAAGCAGCGAAGAGGAGTGGCCCGGCCCTGGAAGAATGCGGCGCTGCCGAGGGGGCAGAACACGACTCAGTCTCCCCGCAGTTTAAGCAGCCCGAGCAGAGCCCAGGCGACCCAAACTTGCGGGTCGCAGACCCTGAGCTCGAACCGCTGGAGGTAATGGGACCTGGGAAAGAGGAGAGGGCAGGAATGCGCCTATCAGGACCAGAAAGGCACTCGGGTAGACCGACAGACAGATAGACAGAGAGACATCCACCTACAAGAGCACAGAGGCGCAGAGAGCCAGATACTGCTAGAGACAGGGAGAGGATAAGAAAGTCTCCAGATTTAGCGGGCAATGAATGTGCAAATGAGCAAAGGGCTGGAGACAGGACGGATCCGTGGGGACTAGACCAGTTGCTCTTCGAGGAGAGGAACGTGTAGTTCGGAAAGCAGAGAGAGTGGGTAGGACAGAGACGAGGACTCGGGTTGCGACAAAGAGCCCGCTTGCAGGAGGCCACCAGGTTTTCCTCTTTGCCACACACACCTGGAGCCTCTCTTCTCTCCCTGCTGAGCAGGAAGGGGGCAGAGCCAGAGGAAAGCCCAGTCTTGGACCCTTCTGACAGAACTTGCCTGGTATTGTAGGCACCTGGAGGTGACACCGCCCCAGGTAGTGGGGAACCCCCTCCCAAACCCCCCCAGCCTAATAAGGGCGGGGAAGCCAGTCGTGGGGCCCTAGAAGAGGGAGCAGTGGGTGAGGTCCCGGAGCGAGTGTTTGTAAGTCTGCGTTTGCATGTGAGTGTGTGCCTGTGTGCCAGGCGTTGTGTCTGACTGGGCAGGGCTCCAGGGGCTCTGTGAGGTCTGGACCCTTCCTCTCCAAAGCTCTCTGGGACTCAGGGACTCTGGGAATCAAGGGTTGATTCTTACAGCTTTGTTTGCAGAGGGATGAGAAAGTTCAGTCGGGTGGCACCAGTGGTTTAAAAGACTGAACGAGGGCATCCTTCAGTTCCCTGGGAAGCCACCCTATTCTAGAGCCTACATCAAGTCTTTCTGCCCCACAGGCGCTGATCCATCTACCCACCGGAGCCTCCGGGCTTCGACATGCTGGAGGAGCCCCAGCGGCGGCCTCCACCCTGGGGCCTCTCGGGTCTCCTGTTCCTGGCCTTGTGCAATCGGTGAGCAGTTCCCCCTGTCTTCCAGCCTACCAGAGAAGCACCAGTGTGTGTGTGTGTGTGGGGGGGGTTGTTTGCAGGGGGTATGAGGCTGGACTCCAGACCCCTGATGCCTCTTCTGTTCCCAGGGCTCTAAGCAATGAGATTCTGGGCCTGAAGCTGCCCGGGGAGCCACCACTGACGGCCAACACCGTGTGCTTGACGCTGTCCGGCCTGAGCAAGCGGCAGCTAGGCCTGTGCCTGCGTAGCCCCGACGTGACTGCGTCGGCGCTGCAGGGTCTGCACATCGCAGTCCACGAGTGCCAGTACCAGCTGCGCGACCAGCGCTGGAATTGCTCGGCGCTCGAGGGCGGTGGCCGCCTGCCGCACCACAGCGCTATCCTCAAGCGCGGTGAGCCTGGCGGGGCTGGGCTGTGCTGCCGTGGATGCCCGGGGTGGGGGGCAGGCTGAGGCGCGTGCAGCGGGGAAGAGACAGGTTCATGGCTCAAGAGGAGCCTCTTGGGGAATTCCCCCCCCCCCCGGAGCCGCACTGAGCCGGGTCTGGCCACCCGTCTGGGCCTTTGCGCCTGACTTCCACCTGCACGCTGCTGGCAAAGCAGCTGGGTTCTGTTCTCTACCCTAGGGCCCCCCTTTTCTGCCTCCTCCCAGCTCAATCTGGGTTGCACCTGTGAACAAGAGATGCCCCCAGCCCTGGAAGCTTCAAACACCCCCCAGTCACTCCCCTCCCTCTCAACCCGAGACAAGCCCAGGCCGATGTCCCCAGAGTCTCAGCGGGGGTGGGGTGACGCCCCCAACCGTTTAAGGGTTAAACCTGCTCCCCTAATTGCTGGGGTTCCCAGGAGCCAAAGCTGGGAACAAAGACCCTGATGGCTTTGAAGCTGGGGAGCAGCCCCCTCCTCTGTGCTATGGGGGCCCCAGGTGTAGCTCACCTGAGCAGGTGAGGAACAGCTGGAGGGACCAGAACAGATCCTTGCTGGCCTGGTCTGGAAGGGATAGTCCGGGAGGCTTCACTGCTTCTCCCCATGCCCTGCTGGAGTTCACTCCCAGAGGAGTAAAGATCCTTGGGGGCTCAGCCCAAGGGTTGTCGGGGGTGGGGTGGTGGTGGTGGTGGTTTGGGGACTATGGGGTTAACAGGCAGCTGCCATCTGGAGGGAAATTCCCAAGACTTGTGCAAACAGCTTCACCCTTGAAGGGCTGGGGTTGGGGGATCAGGAGGCTGGCCCAGGAGCCCCGGATCCTGGGGTAAGAGAGGTCTGGCCCTAAGGAGGTGCTGGCTTTCATCTTCTCAGGGCTCCAGAGAGCTCCTGCCTAATGAAATGAGGGATCCTCCTGCTCTGAAGGGCTGGTATAGGAGAACATTTTGACATCCTTATGGTGGGCACCTCTACCTAAGCTTGAGGAAGGCGTATCATCCCCAGCCTCCTTGACCTCCTAAATATAACAAGGAGGCCAACCTTTTAAGAGGACTGTAGGGAAAATCACCTCCGCCTTGCTCCTCCTCCCAGTGTTTTATAGGGTAATAGCAGGTTTGGATAAACATAAAGGGCAGTCTTGAAGGGCAAATATAAAACAAGAATTTGGAAAAGGGAAGGGCAGCCCATAGGTCCAGTGCTTTAGGGGTGTTTTGTTCTGGTGATGGAGAGTAGGTTGATTAAAAGACTGATTTAAATACTTCAAAAAATAAAAGAACCCCAAAGGACTCTGCTCCTACCCCACCTAAGCTCCCTGCAGGGCTGGGGAATTTCTAAGTCTTTAGATGTAGAACTCCAGGAACAAATCTTTACAGTCCTCAGGGACTGCTTAGTCACCTCACAACCCCAGGGATCTCTCCCTCTGGGCTGGCTCTTTCATCCACACCTGAAAAGCAGAGACTTACAGAGTCGGAGTGGGCTTCAGACAGTATCTAGACCCATCAGTTTCCCTTCATAGCTGAGGAAACTGAGGCTCTGTGCTCTTTTCTTTCTTGTTCTGTGAACTTCTCCTAAATCACTCAGCTGGTAAGTGGCAGATCAGGGTTCAGTTAGGAGTTGCTGATGTTGGAGGGCGGCTGTTTCTTTCCTCCTGTCTCTTCATTCTCAGCTGCCAGTTGCCAGTCTACCTTACCTCCACCTTCATGTCCTTCTCATCCCCAGGTTTCCGAGAGAGTGCTTTCTCCTTCTCCATGCTGGCGGCTGGGGTCATGCATGCGGTCGCCACAGCCTGTAGCCTGGGCAAGCTGGTGAGCTGTGGCTGCGGCTGGAAGGGCAGTGGTGAGCAGGATCGGCTGAGGGCCAAACTCCTGCAACTCCAGGCACTGTCCCGGGGCAAGAGCTTTCCTCACTCCCTGCCCAGCCCCATCCCTGGCTCAGGCCCTGGCCCCAGCCCCCAGGACACATGGGAATGGGGTGGCTGTAACCTTGACATGGACTTTGGAGAGAAGTTCTCTCGGGATTTCTTGGATTCCAGGGAAGCTCCCCGGGACATCCAGGCACGAATGCGAATCCACAACAACAGGGTGGGGCGCCAGGTATGTGTGTGGATCTTGTTCTGGGTCTCCCTTCTTTCTGAGGCCTGGCTAAGGACTGAGAGGCCCAGCAAAGTAATATGATGAGGTGTGGTGGGTGATTGCCATTTGCTGTCAGCAAGCCTCCCAGCCTCAGGTTTTTGCATATATAAAAGGAGGAGGCCAACGAAGTCTGAAGTCTGAGACAGGAGGCTTGGGAGTAGCAGACCAGCCTGGGTCATATGGGGAGTTTAAGGCCAGCCTGGACTACGTGTCAGAAAAAAAAAGAAAAGAAACTGATGATAACCTACCTCACAGGTCTTTAAGGCTGAGCTAGCAAAACATACTGCCACTTGGCTCATTACATGGTAGCTGTTATTACAGCTGTCTTCCCTGCAGACTTTAGGGGCACTCTGGGTCACAGTCCCCATTTTATCAGTGTTTACTCTGGAAAGAGCACTGGACTGGGAGTCAGACAATTGGAGTTGAGTCCTGGCTCTGTTGCCAGTTAGCTATCAAAGATGGGCAAATCACACTGCACTGGCTTCAGTTCTCCAATCATAAAATGAAGGACTTGGTCAGTTAACTTCTTTGCAATGCCCTTTCTCATCTCGTACTCGTTTTTCCCTATGTTCTCTGTACCTTTCCCTCTCCTGTGTCCCTGTGCTCTGTTCATTTGCTGCCTGCCCCTTCACCTCTTGTCCCTCTGATGCTCTAGGTGGTAACTGAAAACCTGAAGCGGAAATGCAAGTGCCATGGCACATCAGGGAGCTGCCAGTTCAAGACATGCTGGAGGGCAGCCCCAGAGTTCCGGGCTGTGGGGGCAGCGTTGAAGGAGCGGCTGGGCCGAGCTATCTTCATTGATACCCACAACCGAAATTCTGGAGCCTTCCAACCCCGCCTGCGTCCCCGTCGACTCTCAGGAGAGCTAGTCTACTTTGAAAAATCTCCTGACTTCTGTGAGAGAGACCCCACTGTGGGCTCTCCGGGGACAAGGGGCCGGGCCTGCAATAAGACCAGCCACCTGCTGGATGGCTGTGGCAGCCTGTGCTGTGGTCGTGGGCACAATGTGCTCCAGCAGACGAGAGTTGAGCGCTGCCATTGCCGCTTCCACTGGTGCTGCTATGTGCTATGTGATGAGTGCAGGGTTACAGAATGGGTCAATGTGTGTAAGTGAGGATCAGCCTCACCTTGGGGCTGGGGAAGGGGACTGTGTGAAAGGGCCACTTTTTCAGCCCTGTGCTTGGATTTCTGTCCGGGGTGATCTTGGCCCCTGGAAGCTCAAAGCATCTACCTGGAAACAGCCTTGGGGTGGTGGGGGTCAGGGTCTGTAGTTCGCAGCCTTCTCCACACAGCTGGAGGGCCTTGGGAGGAAGCTGTCACCTCCCTTCTGTTCCTTAAACACCTGAATGGACTAAGATGAAAGGCACTGTATTGCTCCCCTCTTCTCAACCCCAGGACCCCTTTAAGCTGGATTCATAGTTCTTTTGGCTGGGGGGTCTTTATAGTTTGGTCATTCCTCTCCCTTGAGGGACAACCCCAAGGCCTTGTGTGGAGCCATTAAGACCTGTAGAAAAGGACCGCCCCTTTCCATTTGCTTTCTCAAATTCCTCTACCACAACCCGGACCCCTCTTTTGTTGGATCATGGGAAGCAGTACTGGAACAGAGGTTTTTTCCTTCAGGAAGGCACAGAGTGCTGAGGGGTACTCTCCTCTGAATCCTCCAGGGCTGGACTTTGGAAAGTCCAGGCCCTAAGGAAAGTTGTCTCCTTCCATTCAGGTGTTAAAGGGGAACTTCCAAAGAAAGGATTTTACCCAAGACTCTTGGAGCCCCAGTTTTCCTCCTTCAGCAAGAAATGGATAATTTATTGTACTGAGAATTGTTCTTGAAACTAAAATAAATTAAGTTACTGGACTGGCGGAATGCAGATGGTGATGTATCCAGCCATACTTGGGATCTTGGTCCATAGTTTCATCTCCAGGTGAACTGACCCCCATCCTCAACGACTTTATTTATGTATATCCTGCTGAGTTCCACAAAGGATTTGAAATGATCTGCAGTGACTTAATTGGCAAACTTTTAGTTTATGAAACCAGGAGGGACTTCTTCTAGGTAGGTGAGGTTAGAGTCCAAATGTAGGCCCTATTAGCTGGGTGTAGTGGTGCACACTTGTAACTCTAGTATCAGGAGGCTGAGGTGAGAGGATTACCCACTGTGAGTTCAGGCCAGCCTGGGTTACATAGTGAGTTCAAGGCCAGCCTGAACTACATAGCAAGACTCTATCAAAAAAAAAAAAAAAAATCAAATGCAGGCCCTATTCTCTGTGCACCTGAATTATTCTAGATATCACCTTGATCATTGCCTAGAGCAAGGGTTGGCAATTTTTTTTTCATGTAAAGGGCTAGATAATATGTATATATTAGGCCACCTATATTGTGGTCTTTGTCTTAACTACTCATCTCTTCCATAATTACTCAACTCTGCTATTAGAGATCAAAAGCAACCAAAGACCATACATAAATGAAGGAGCATGGTTTTCTTTAATAAAATGTAATTCACAGCCTGATGTAGTGGCACATGCCTGTAATCCCAGCACTCTGGGAGGCTGAGGCAGGAGGATCACCAGTTAGAGCCCAAACTAGACAATTTAGTGATTTGGTAGACCCTGTTTCAATCGGTCAATCAAAAATTAAAAAGGTGCTGGTGATGTAGCTCAGTGTGAAGGCCCTGGGTTCAGACCCTAGTACCAAACCAAACCAACCAACCAAACCAACAACCAACCAACCAAACAAACAAAACACCTACCATCACTTCCAACAAAAAAAATCCTACTTAATTTACAAAAAATGTGGTACAGAACTAGATTTGTCTTCTGTCAGTAGCTTGTTGACCCTCTGTTCTATCTTATGAGGTCACATCTTCTCTGGGTGTTTTCAAATCCTAAATGTATCTTAGCATTGAATGCAGACCCAAAACAGCAGATACTTTTCTCTCTGACTCCAAACCAGAGAATTTGAGAGGTAGAGAGGTAGACAGATGCAAGATTGATGGAAAACATGTTAAAAGGGATTTCTGTGGTCAAAATGGGAGGTGTTTTCCACCTTCTGGAAACCAGCAAAACCAGCATGCTCTCCCACTGAATTATTTGCATCCGTATTTTGTCCTTCCTTACCTTAGTAAAATAACTTTACTAATTTTAGTACACAAATTTCTTTATCTTTTAAAAGATAACCTGAGAAAACAGAATTTCTTGTCTCTATTCCTAACTCAGTATCTTTTTTTTTTGGTACATGGGGATTGAACTTGGGACCTTGTGCTTGTGAGGCAGGCACTGGAACCACTGAGCTAAATCCCTGGCCTTAACTCAGTATCTTTGAAAATAAACTTATCTTTCCAAGATTCAATGATAAAAGGGATATATCTATATGGGATATATATGTATGCACACGTGTATACATGACAATTTAAAACTTTACAGATGATTGTGTACATGGGAGACTTCAAGATCTGACTTAACAGGTCATGACCTTAGCCATGGATGTAGAAATAGTGCTACTTCTCTGGACAACAGATTTATCTGCTACCAAAATTATCCTCAAATTAGATGAAATGAGAGTAGCAACAAGGTAGCAAGGATATTTGTCTTGGGTTAGGGCAGTATTTTACAGCAACATTTTACATCACAAATCTCCACTTGATCACTGAGAATTCTGGGTTTGAAAATGTGGTAGTGTCAGGAGATATCCCATTCTTAATTCAGACCCTTACTGAACCTTATATGCATATGGGAGAGGGGCAAAGGAGAAGAGATGCAGCTAGAATTGCCAAAAGATATGAAAGAGAATAATGAGAAAGAACACCCCGAGTACAAATTTTTCACATTCAGGAAGGGGAAGGAGACTCTCCAATGAAGTTGTAGCAAGAACAGTTCAGCTTTGTCCTGTTTCTGTCCTCTGTAGTCCTTTGGCTCCCTTTCTTTTCTAGCTTTCCCTGTTCTTTCATCAGACACCCTCTGTGCCAAACTTAAGCCCCAAACCACAACCTTGACAAATTCCAAGTGGATTTTGTCAGTAAGGCCAACACCCCTCCTCCTGGCACACGCCTGGGCTCAGGCCCAGGCCTGGGGTCAGGGATAGAATGGAAGCTGGTGGCTACACTTTCACTTTTTACTAGACTCTAGTTGCCAGAGAGACAAGAAAAAGACTCTAAGTCAGGCATCTGGGCCTCCTTCAGCTCTGGAAGAGCTCCTCCTCTACCCTTTACCAAGTGGCTGTGAAGTTGGGGCATGGTAGTAGGCAGCACTTCTCCTTTCTCTCCTCCTGCTAGTTCTATGCGCAGCCCTCTTTGAAGCTACATAGACACTTTCTTCCCCAGACTCCTGAGGGGTGAAGGAGAGAAGAACTGGGAGATTTTCCAGTCAAATTCATCAGTTCGGGGTGTTTGCTCCTAATCATATTAGGCTGTCACCATTCCCATCTTTCTGTCACACTTGGGATACAACCTGGAGAGGCTCTTTAGTCATAGGCAGGAACATCCATCAGCAGTTTCCATCTCTATAATGGACTCCCACAAGGCATGTTGGTGTGGCTGAAGTACTAGGGAAGGAGTTGTAAAGCATATTTTTGGTGGTCTTGTGGGGGTATAATCTCGTGGAGTGTTGCTAGAAATTTCTAGGGAAAGGAGTGGGGAGGGCAATCACATGAAGGTATCACAGGGCCCACTCTAGCAGTGTGTTATTAACATGGAATAATGCTGGAAGAGTCTTTTGCCTTTAAAAACAGAGCTTAGCAAGGCAAAGGGAATAACAAGAAGCTAGGAAAGGATTAATTCTTTTTGTTATACATAGGTTCCTTTTTTTTTTTTAATCCATCTCATCCTTCACCATCTTCAATTAGGGTCTTCTTGACTTTATATTCTAAGACATGTTATTCTTCAAATAAACGTGAGAAAACAGACTGGGATAAGAGGAAGGGTCTGGTAAGGACACAAACCAGGGCTTGATGTGGACATGGAGTACACACAGTGTGGTATCTACCAACCTAGCTCTCCTTGGAAGGAAACAAGAAAAAAGGCAGGAAATTCAGAAGAGTGGCAATTTTGGCTCAGGCGTTTAAGAGCCACGTGTTCTCTTGTACTGCTGAAATGAGGAGGGAGGGCACTTAAAGAACCTTCTGTTCTTAGTATTTCTAGTGTCCTTCTAGTGCAGCTTTTATCACAGCTGTGACTGTTCCAAGGCAGCTTTGCATATGTCCATCAGGTGCAAAAAATCGAGTGTGGTGGAATCAGAGATTGGTAGGTAGGAAGTGAGACACACAGGTGCAAAGCCCTTCACTTTTCCTTAGGACACTAAAATCCATATTCATCTAGATACACTTTCTTAGACCACACCTCTGAACTTTAGCCTTCAACCCTCTTCAACTCATGGTCTTTCAAGTTCAGCTTTTTCCTTTAGTCTTTTAAATTCATCACTCCCCCTCCTCTTCCTTATGGAAAAGGATCTCTTAATTCAGGCTTTGTTGTCACTTAGTTTCAGTAATAGTGAGTAGCAACAATGGTGTAGCTCTGTGGCTGATGCACCTAGACTAGATTAAGAAATAAAAATTAAGTCTGGTGGGATAAGGCTGGCCACAAGCAAACACTGCTCAGCCAAGGAGTTCCTGGACCCCTTGGCCCAATCCGAGTTTCCAGCAAGCAACTTTAGTCCTTAAACTCTAGGGATGACCCTAGGGCTTGGGAGTCTCACCTCAGTCTCTACGGTTCCATCCTTATTCCTCGGCTCCCAGCTCCTACTTCTGCCGCCCGCAGCCCTCAGCCCCCACACCTCACCGGCCCCCACCAGACTTGGACTCCAGCGCTCAGCGGCTTCTGCTGCAGCCGCTGCCATGGTGATGGGTCTCGCGATAACTGCTGCTTGCTACAGCGCAACTCTCGCGCGATCGTGGAGGTGGGAAGTATCCCGGGCTGGGGGTGGGGGTGCGCCGCACAGCTCCTGTCGCCGTTGCGGCTTCCGGTGCTAGGTGGAGGGAAGGAAGGAGGGAGCCGGGGAGCGGGCCAGGGGAGCAGCCGCGGTGAAGTAGGCTTGGAGAGCCAGAGAGAGCGGAGTGAGAGGCAAGTGGAACTTGCGGGGGCGGAGGCGGTGGTAGCAGCGGCGGAGCTGGGAGCAGGAGCAGGTGAGGGGCTGGGGAGGGAAGGCGGGTCCCTGTAGCGAGAAGAGGCTTGGTCAGAGCTGGGTCTGAGGAGCTAGAGGCCCCCCGCCGGGCATCGCCCGGCACTGGTTTGTGTAGTCCTTCCCAGCAGACAGCTCAGAGAGGGGGCGTCCAGCCAGCCTCTAGCCTGCCCCCGCGTGTGAAGGACGCGAGGCGGGGGTGGGGGTGGGGGCGGGGGCGCGCACGGATTTGTCCTCCGCCTAGCACAAGGGGGCAACCTGGGCTGCAGTTAGGTTCTCCTCACCAGCCAGAGGTGGGCTTTGGAAGGGTCCGGGTAGAAGGGTAGAAAAGTCGTCCAGTGAGAGGCGCTGCGGGGGCGGTGTGGCTGTTTGTCTCTTTTTTCTTTTAAAGGGCTAGGCCAGGGAAAGCTGCTGTCTCCCTCTCCTTCCCCCACCTTAGTTATAGAAGACCGGAGAAAAGCCTCGCCGCCGTTACGCTGCCCCCGCAGTGGGTCGGGGTGCACAGGGGCTCTGGAGGTTAGCGACAGGGGAGGCTGGTGGGCACCCCAGGGCCACTGTGCTGGTGAAGGTTTCGCTGTCGGGCCTTGGGGAAAGGCTGGTTGGGAAGGGGGCAGTAGGTGGGGAGAGGGTGGAGGAGAGGCAGGGGGAGGGGGAGGGGGAGGGGGATCTGAGCTGGCTGGGAGGAGAGAGGTGGGGCGTTCCTCCCGCAGGCGTAGCGGGGGCGGTCTCAAGGGAGGAGAGAGCATCCTGTCACTGGCCCTGAGCTTGTGTCTTCCAATCCGCTTTCTTTCTTTAGGAAGTACCAGGATTCCCGGAACAGAAAATGGAGCCCTTGCTTACGCCAATCGTTTGAGGGAAGAAGGGGGAGGTGGGGAGGTGAAGTTTCCTGTTAAAAACGGAGCACTTGGTTAGCTAAGTAGTCACTCGTTTTGGGGGGAGTTCCTTTCTTTCTGGGTTGTATTACGGCCCTCTGCTCAGGCCATACCAGGAGGAATGTGGTAGCGGAGGTAAAAGTGTGGTATGTGGTTAGGAGTGAGAAGAAATAGTGAGGTCATCAGGGTGAGGGAGAAGTGTAATGTAAAACCTGTCTCTGATGCTGTTGGATTGGGTCACTCCTGCTCTGTGGCATGAAAGTTTTATTGGGAGGAGAACTGCTGCAGTCTCTGAATGCATGGGTCAGTGCAACAGGACAGAAGCTAGTCATTGCTCACCTTCACCCTTGCCTCCAGTCAGGTAGGTGGACACAGTCTTCGCTGTCTGCCATTTTGTTTTTGGTCTGTTGGGGCAATGCCCGAACTTAAGACTGGCACGGGTCAGTGGGTTGGTCCTTGCATATTGGACCCAAGTTTGAATAACGTGTGTAAAAGCTCATAATAAGAAAGCAGCTGGTCCACTGAGATTCATCTTGGCTCAGAATGAATCACTGACCTTGGATTCAGCCAGGAAAGGCTCCCATGTATCACATATTCACATACCTCTTAGCATACTCTTATGTAGTAAAAAAAATTTTTTTTCAAATGTTTTTGGTAGTACTGGGGATGGAACCTAGGACTGCAAGCACGTTAGGCAAGCTCTACCACTGAGCTACACCCCCAGCCCAGTCAGAATTTTTGTATGTCTATGTTTTGCATATGTGCTGCCGAAGCAAGCACTGTATGTCTGTTTTGCTTTTCTAAGGAGACTGCAAGTTTTTTGAACACAGAAATTCAATCTCCCCTCTTGTGTGTTACGATACGTATGCACATAGTAGGCATTTGTAAACACAGCACATGAAGGTAGTTTCTAACTACAGTTTAGGGAAAGGAAAGGAAATGGCTGGGCTGTTAGCAGAAGTGGCTAGAGATAGCTGAACAAGGTACAAAGATTCTTAGTCTGTAATTGGTTTTTCCACCTTTGTTCTCTCTCTCTTTTTTTTTTTTTTTTTTTTGGTGGTATTAGGAATTGAACCTGGGCCCTTACACTGAGCCACATCGCCAGCTCTTTTTTTTTTTCTTTCTGGTACTGGCGATTGAACTCGGGTCCTTGCGCTAGTGGGGCAGGCGGTGGAACCACTGAGCTAAATCCCCAGCCCCATCCTCAGCTCTTACTAATTAAAAAAATTTTGAGACAAGGTCTTGGTATGTCACTAAGCTGCCTAGGTTAGGCAGTGTTGCAGTCTTCCTGCCTTGACCTTCAAGGGTGCTGGTATTGTAGCTGTGTGCTTCCCCCAACCCCACTAGGGATTGAATCCAGGAACTTTGTACTGAGCTACATCCCCAGCCCATTTTTTATATCTTCTTTTGAGACAGCTTGGCTAAGTCACTAAATTGCCCAGGGTAGCCTTGATTTTATTGTTGTTTGTTTTTTGAGACAGGATTTCCATATGTAGTTCAGACTGGCCTTGAACTTGAGGCAGTCCTCCTGCCTTAGCCTCCCAAGTGCTGGAATTACAGGCATGCACCATCACACTAGGCTAAGGGTTTGAAATTTTGATTCCCTTGCTTCAGCCTCCTGAGTGCTGGGATTATAGGTGTATGCCACTGCACCCAGCTTTTCACCTTTGTAAGAAGCAGAAAACAAGCATAGATAATGGAAACTAGGACCCCCAAAAAGGAAGTAGTAATAAAATACAAGGTCATTATTTATCTGAAGTTCCAGATTTCTTGTTTCTCTGTTGTGGAAAAAGGGGTCTTCCTATCAGACCTAAGCTTTTTAAAGTGTTGTCTATGAGTTGGGATCCTGGAGTTTACAGAGGAGAGGCCAATGTATGTTTGTAGTGCCTGGCAGATTTGTGCCAGTGAACGGTAGCTGCTATTATACTTACTGCAAGTATAAAGAAGAGCAGAGGCTGGGCATGAGGGCACATATCTGTAATCCCAGCACTCTGGGAGGGTTGCAAGTACAAACCCAGCCTGAGTGATTGAACAAGACCCTGTCTCAAGATAAATTCAAGCCAGGCCTTATGGCATATGCCTGGCACTTGGGAGGCTGAGGCAGGAAGGAGGATTACTACATATTTGAGGCCAAGCTGAACTATATTTTGAGACCCTGTCTCAAAAAACAACAAAAATTCAAAACAAGGCCCTGGGTTGAATCCGCAACTGCCCCCCCCCCCCCCCAAAGCAGACAGCAGGCTGGAAAGAGTAGAAGTGAAATCTCGATCTTTTTTAAAGTTTTTGGGGGTTTTTTGGTACCAGGGGTCAAACTCAGGACCTTGTGCTTGTGAGGCAGGCAGTGGAACCACTAAGCTAAATCCCTGGCCCCAATTTTTTAGGTTTTTTTTTTTTTTTGAAACAGGCTCTTACTGTGTAGTTCAGGCTGGCCTTGAACTTGTGGCAGTTTACCTGACCCAGCTTCCTGAGTGCTGGGATTACAGGCATGCGCCCCCACGTCTGGCAAGTGAAATCTAAACTGCAGAATCATGTTGTAGTCTGTTTTATCTGCCCTGTTCTCTTTCCACCAAGTTATAATAAGAGGAAATGGATTTTGAGGACAGAGGGTAAGATTTATTGGTTAGAAGGAAGAACTTTAAAACCACGTTGTTAAAGCTATTCATGTAACACTGGGAATAAATGCCTGTTACCCAGCTACTAAGGAGGCCAAGGCAGGAGGATCACAAGTTTAAGGCCAGCTGGGCAATTTAGCAAGATCCTGTCAAAAGTAAAATGACCAGGGCTGGGAGTGTAGCACAGTGTTACCTGGATTCAATCCTCAGTCCCTGCTCCCACACACACTGACAGTATGTACCTGAAGCAAATTGTGGAATCTGCTTCCTCATTTAACTCTAGAAAATGGATGTCCAGAAGCCTGAGATTCAGGGTGGGTGTGGTGGTACATGCTTGTAATCCCAGCACCTGGGAGGCTGAGCTAGGAGATCATTGCAGGTTTGAGGACAGTCTGGACTGCATAGCAAGACCCTGACAAAAACCTGAGAATCAAAACACCACTGTAGGGGCCGAGGATTTAGCTCAGCAGGTGCCACCGCCTGCCTCAAAAGTGAAAGGTCTTAAGTTTGATCCCCGGTACCAAAAACAAAAACATACCACTGTATTTGGCTCTCCTCACCCTTTTGGTTGTAGATAAATTTAGAGATGAAAGGATATAGTAATTAAGAGTGGGCCTTGGAGTCAAACAAAATTGGTTTCATATCCTGCCTGTGCTATTTACTAGTTGCAAATTTTTGCTAAAATTATTTTTTCTCTTGTCCCTTTCCTTGTTTGTAAAGAGGTAATGATAGTTCTTACATAGTAGGGTTCTCATGAGAATTAAATGAGATAATAAATGGCTGGGCATGGTGGCAGATGCCTGTAATCCTAGCACTTGGGAGGCTGAGGCAGGAGGCCAGCCTGGGTTACATAGTGAGTTCAGGGTCAGTTACAGAGACAGTCGCTGTCTCAAAAATAAATAAGAAAAAGATAAATGTAAATCAGTGTCTTACAAAACACACAGTGAGCACCAAATAAATGTTAGCTGCTAACCCATATGGTAGAGCAACAGTAATACGAACACTTTTTTAGTATGTGTGCTGCTGGAGCGAGCACAGTAATACGAACACTAAGTGCTACCTTAAAGGAGAAGAGGTTTACAAAAGAACCACGTGGTACCTGAGGTGCTGTGTAGCGGGATGGTTGTTACCATGACTTTCTGCACTGGTCGCAGGCAAGCAGTGAAATCTTTTTTCGGCATCAGCCTCCCAGAGGCAGCTCCTGCTGCCTGAGTAGGAGGCGAAGCTGGAGCAAGATAGGGCCCTAAACCATCATCACCGTGGATATAGGGTGAGGATGTGGGGGCTCGAGAATAGTGCTTGTTACAAAAGTCAGTGTGGGTTTGCAGTAGTGGTTGAGCATCCTGGTTGACCTAGGTCAGAGATTTATATTCCTAGTCTTCTTGTTTTAAGCCTCAGTAGTATTTCAGCATCCTCCATTTCCTGGGCCACTCTTTTCATTTAGTCATATGTTCTTAAAATGTCTGCCTCTGAGTATCTTTTTCACAGTATACTGTGTTAAGGTCCAGGAAAAGACCTGA